CAGAACACCGCAAAATTCCTACTGGGCAGGCGGAGTGGGGAGGTGCTGCAGAGTGATGGGGGCGGCCCAAGGGGGTGGGAGAGGGTCCGGCCCACGCTGCGCCTGGGCTGGGACTGGTTCCGTCGGCGCAGGGTAGCAGGAAGCTCTCCACACACTCACTGGACCTGAACTAGGACTGGGTCTCGGGATGCGCACATTTTAAAGAGGGACTAATACCAAGCAGGAAAAAAAAAACCTAACAGTGGTATGTGTTAGGAAACCTCCCATAGCGCTAACCCTGTACTGCCACGAGGCAGAGAAGCCATTTGTCTGTAGAAAGGTGCCATTTGTCTGTAGAAAGATGCCATTTGTCTGTAGAAAGGTGCCATTTGTCTCTGTTTTTGCCTAGGACTTTGCACTGTTTCGAATACAAAGTTTGAATGTCTCTGGGAGAGATATAATACTGAGGGGGTCCCACCTCTGAGGCTTCACTGTCCAGGGGCCCTCATAGACTGAGGGTGAAAGAAGAAAGCAGTCCTCTCTTGCAGCCAGTGCTAAGTTTTTCACAGCAGTGCTCTGTTGATGGAAAAGTACAGACATATTCCCCTCGCTTCACCATATGGGATAGGCAGGCAGTGACTGCTGAAATCCAAGGCTGAAACAGTTCTGAGAGAGAACCAAATGTTAGAAATATTTTAATGACAGACTATTTATTATAGATTTCTCATGGGAGCTTTTATAAAAGGGTATACATCTGGTACCCAGAAACTCATCTTGGGGAATAGAAAAAGTGTTCTGTCTTGGGAAGATTTGTTCAAAAAATAAGTATTTCTATAATAAGAAATAGTTTAGTACTTAGGAATGAATGGTATGTAGCCAAGGGAAGGGTTTATAATCAGAAGGAAGAGTGATGAGTGCCAGCCATAGTGACATGAGAGAACCTTCACATTTCTGTTTGTGATTAGTGTCTTAAGTACAAGGAAGCTGATAAGAGAGGAGGACACACAGATGTTGGGCAGCACATTTTCATGGTAGAAGCTTGAATTGTATATTGAACAAGACTTCAATCGGAAATGAAGCATAATAGGATATTTCTTTTAGAAAAATGAATTGATGACACTATAAAGCATGATTTGCAGAGAAGTGACACAGAATATTGTAGAGCCTGTTTTGATAATGCAGTCAAGAAACAATGAGGGTCTACAATAAGGCATTGATCCCAATGATGAAAGGGATTTATTTGAAATAATTAGGCTAAAATAAATAATGGACAGCTAAAGCTTTAGTTAAAAACCAAAGTAGAAGAAGGATTCTCTGAGTTGTGGAGATAGCCTAGCGGTCTAAGTGCCTGCCTAGGCAAGAGCAAGGACCCAGGTTCAATCCCTGGTACAGTGTGCCATGCTGCACACTGATAATTCCAGCACTGGGGAGGCTGAAAACAGGAGGATCATTATGAGTCTGAGCTGCATAGTATGACCCTGTACCAAATACACAAAATTTAAAAAAAAAATAATTCTCTAAAGGCATTGGGTGTTGCCATAAAGTTTACAGAATGGGGACACATGGTAGTGTGCAAAATGCTTAATAGAAGAGCAGACACCAAGCCTCAGATAATGAGATCGTGAGAAACTAGAATGTGATAGTAGCTACTATTAGTTGAATGAATGAAAAAATGATTTTTTTTTTTTTTTTTTTTTTTTAGTGAATTTTAGGCAGGGTTTATAGGATGTACAGGGTCTCACTACATTGGTTGGACTCCTAGTGATTCTCCTGTTTTCAGCCTCCCAAGCGCTGGGATTACAGGCACACACCATCACACCCAGTCTCAATCATCCTCTCAGCGTGCCCTGGGGGCAGGACTGGCACAGCATGGCAGGGAGTCGAACCTCACCACTGTGCTCTGCCTAAGCAGGCACTTTAGTCCGCGGAGCTATCTGGCCTCTCTGGCTGGCCTGAAAAAAATGAATTTTAAAAAGCAGTGAAGAGGCTTGCATCTAGGTCAGAATCCAGGATGACAAAAATGTAAGATGTAAGTTTTTTTAAAGAACTGTATTCTGGTTGTTTGGAAGCTACTTGGACTTTTCAAATAAAATCATGAGAATTAAAGTTGTTTATAAAGAAAATCTTCATGGTGAAAAGGCAGAGCTCTCTAGATCTGTACTGCCCAGAATAGCAATTAGTTGCATGTGACCATTGAGTACTTACAGTGTGGCTAGTACCCCATGTTGATCACATTTTGGATGCCTTATGTTAAATACGTTAAAGTTAAATTCACCTATGTCTTTTACTTTTTCATGTAGCTACTAGAAAATTTTAAATAAAATGTGGGACTTGCATTTTATATATATTGACTGGTGCTGGTCTTTCTTTAAGAGCTTTGGTTAACTACTCCCTTGTGGTTCTAGACAAAAAATGAGTGTCATTACTGAAACTTGATTTGATAATGAACACCTTCACTGTTAAATCATCATAGTTAAATATTCTAATTCATATTAAGTCTGACCTCTGTATTTGCTCCTAAACTTAGACAGCTGTAAGGCTAGAGAAATTTTACTTGTTATTTTCTGTTCTATTTGTAATTTTAGTCAGACTTTAAAGGAACTGTGTAGTTAACTTTTCTTACAATATTTTTCTTCCCAATCAAAATTCATATCCTTTACAATCTTGACTTTTCTTCCTGTGAACCCATAAATTGTAACATACAAATAAAAAGACAATAAGAAAACAGACAGGGGCCGGGGAGATGGCTCAGTGGAATAAGCACTTCCCTGGCAAGCGCAAGGGCCTGAGTTCAATCCCTGGTTCTGAAAAAAAAAAAAAAAGAAAGAAAACAGACATTTCCCTTTTTTCTCCTTTTGAACAGCATCCAAATACACCAGAGCTAATAATAGGACTGAAAGGGACCGAATAGAACTTCTCCAAGATGCAGAACCTTTGGATTTTAATGCAGAAACATTCAATGATGATCCTCTTGAATCTGAGTCAGGAAGGTAAGTTCTGATTATGTCATTTTGACTCAAGCATTCCTCTGAAATTTTAATAACATATTGACAAGATTGGAAGCAAAGGATAAGTAAACATTAAAATGTCCACTTTTACTACTAATAAAAAACTTACTGAGCATCTTCAGAGCTATTTAAAGCCCTCTAATTTTTATATTTTATATTTTATATTTATT